ATGATACCGATCTTCAATATAGCAATCAAGCCAGCAAAGACCAGTTTATTTGTCCAGAGTAGATGCCTCATTTGAGTTCGAATAAAAATGAAAAATTTGGAAAAAAAAGGCTTCCATGTTGAAATAGCAAAAAAAGAAAAAGAGGGTGTGGGTGAAGTGGATGTGTGGGACGAATGCGGGTGTGGGTGTTGGTGTGGGATGTGGGTGTGGGTGTGAGTGTGGGTGTAGATGTGGGTGTGAGTGTGGGTGTAGGTGTAGGTGTGGGTGTAGACCTTCTTCTTAGCCACACTCACACACACACCCACGCTCACACACACACCCACACTCACACACACACTCACACAGCCACACACCCACACCCTCAAAGAAATTCAATGATTCTCCGGCGCTTGGAATAGTTAAGAACGGTCGAAAGTCGAAGGAATCCAAGGATTGCCTAGCACTCTAAACAGTCAAGAGTTGTCGGAAACCAAAGAAATACCAGGATTCAAGGGTCCCATAGCACTTTAACCGATCAGGATTGGTGGTAAAGTGAAGAAATCCAAGGATCTGAAGGATTTCATCGCATTTTGTTCGGTTAAACTTAATACAAAAACTAAGGATTTTCAGAGAACCATCGGTTTCGCAGACGTTGGTGTGTTGCAGAAATCATCAAAGACCTGAAAAAACCAAGTTTCTTAACCACTTTGATTGTTTTTTAATGAATAGTATATATTGAAATTTTTCAAGGTTTCCAAGGTTTCAAAAACCTTGCGTACAAACAGTGTAGGATCATACTGGATTTAGTCAGATATTTTGTTGATGTTGTAAGTGGATTGTGCTAGAATTTCCAAGGAATTTATGGATTCCTTGACGTTTTCAATGGTGGAAACTGTTTCCAGAGTGATCGTGTTCAAGGGTTCGAAGGTTTCTCATACATTTCGGAAGTGGCGCTACCAATGCAAGAAACGAGGATTTTCAGAGAACCTATAGTTTTTTGAGCGTTGGACAGTGCTTAAACAGAATGAGGAACATCTAAATACAAACTTTCGTAATGACTTTGATTCATTTTTAATGAACAGGATATGTTGAAATTTTTCAAGGTTTCTAAGATTTCGGATTCCTTGCATATAAATGGCGTTGAGTCTTACTGAATTTGTTCAGATATTTTGTTCATTATTAGTAGAGTACATTTTATTATAATTTTTCAAGGATTCCTAGAATTTCGGTAGGGCATCCATTTGTATATTGTCTGGAGCGTATACCACACAAAAAAACGGTTTTCTTTGGCTTTCTAGTCCTTCACTTCTTGGACTCTATATTGAATTTTTATACCCAATGATTTCCCCAATCGATGACATAGAGATTGTCGTGTCAATCATATGACAAATCGATGGGCTTATTGAGTTGGTTGAATTGTCCTACTCTACCGTTTCTACCAACAATGACACTTCCCTGTGTCGCTCCTTTTGGCCAATCCATGATTTGATCATTCCTTATATCAGGCACATAGACAGTGTCCAATTGGTCGACAACAACTCTTTTTGAATATGACAATTGTGTAAAATCATTTCCTTCTCCTTGACTACCAGTAATGGCATTGCCTTTCTTTTACATCTTCCATCCATTTCATAATATGATCATTTCCCGAATCAGACACGTACACTGAATGATTTCGATCGACGAATACGTGTTGTGGGCAAGGCACTTGATCAAGACGATTTGGGTGTGAGTGTGTTATTCTCAACCCAGTGCCAACACTCACACACCCACACCGTCAGTAGAGTAGTTTACCTATATTATTCAACAGAACAACGAGATCATCATTGAAATTGATCGATGTTCAATTGTGTGTGGGTAAGTGGGTGTGGTGAAGAATCTCATCCAGCATCCGGCATCCACACCCACATCCTTCAATGAGCACAACTGCAGGTTGAACTTTTGATTCTCCCATGCTCAAGAAACTATCGTTTCTCTTGCACATATTGACATTATGGTATTGATAATCATCATTAGCAAGCAAGGAATGTAACTAACAGATGATAGTGATTTGATGATATTCATAGAGTCACACTGAACTAGGTTACCATGAAGCAAGAGTTAATCTCTAAGTACATACAATACGATTGCATTCCACGAGATAATGGTTCTTAAAAAGCTCGATAAATTTGAATATTCGACGTAATAAGCAATTTCATCGTTGCAATAGGTTTCATCATGACACTTGTCATTGATATAAAAAAAAAACGTTTTTGTGGGATGTGAGTATGGATCTAGATGCTTTTCTACTACAGTCAGATCAATACTGGCAGATAATCATTCATACTCTCAACCATACTGAGGATTACATCATCAGGGATCCACAACCAAACCCAAGCTTTCCCCACTCATCTTTCACACTTAGAAACATTTGAATATTTCAGCTATGATTCTATTAAATATAAGAGCATACGAAATAAGTAAGTGCTAGAAAAATATAAAGTACGAGATAAAATGACTAACAAGTCTGCAAGAGAATATTTAAACTGTCAGTACCATTATTGGCGACGACAAAATCTAGTTTTTTATCATTGTTGAAATCTCCAATGGCAATCGAGAATGGATTGGAACCATAGTCCAACTGAACTAGTATGATGCTTTCAAAACTGCCGTCTCCATGTCCAAGAAGTACACCTAGATAATTGGCATCATAATTCGCGATGACAATGTCTTGTATAATGTCGTTGTTAATGTCATTTACAGCTAAAGAATATCGAGACGAACTTGAGCTTGTTGAATACATCATTTGATTTCCAAAAGAACCATTCCCATATCCAAGAATAATACCAACACTGTCCGACTTACAACTAACAAAGACGATATCCACTCGATTATCATTGTTGAAATCACCGACAGCCATAGAGCATGCAGATAAATATGGATGTGTTGAATATGTCATTTGATTTGCAAAAGAGATATTTCCATATCCAAGAAAAATATCAATATTGTGGGTGCGTGAATTAATGACGCCAATATCCATTAGATCATCATTGTTAAAATCGCTAATCACCAACCACTGTGGTTGGGAACCATTTTCAGTTACTAGTATCATTTTCCTTACAAAAACTATATTGTCATAGCCAACAAGAACACTTACATCATTGCTCTCCCTATTGGCGACAACGATATCTAGTCGAGTGTCATTGTTAACATCACCAATAGCTACAAATGATGGATTATAGCCAGCTGAATACTTTGTTTGATTTTCAAAAGAACCATTTCCATATCCAAGAAGGATACTCACATTATTGTTACCCCCATTGGCGACAATAATATCTAGTCGAGTGTCGTTGTTAACATCACCAATAGATACAGATTGTGGAAAAGAGCCAACTGAATACCTTGTTTGATTTTCAAAAGAACCGTTTCCATATCCAAGAAGGACACTCACATCATTGCTATCCCAATTGGCGACAACGATATCTAGTCGAGTATCGTTGTTGACATCACCAATAGATACAGATGATGGAGAAGAGCCAACTGAATATCTTGTTTGATTTTCAAAAGAACCGTTTCCATATCCAACAAGGACACTCACATCATTGCTACCCACATTGGCGACAACGATATCTAGTCGAGTGTCGTTGTTAACATCATCAATAGATACAGATATTGGATAAGAGCCAACTGAATACCTTGTTTGATTTTCAAAAGAACCGTTTTCATATCCAAGAAGGATACTAACATCATTGCTATCCCGATTGGCGGCAACGATATCTAGTCGAGTGTCGTTGTTGATATCACCAAAAGATACAGATCGTGGAGAAGAACCAACTGAATATCTTTTTTGATTTTCAAAAGAACCGTTTCCATATCCAACAAGAACACTTACATCATTGCTATTCAAATTGGCAACAACGATATCTAGTCGAGTGTCGTTGTTGACATCACCAATAGATACAGATGTTGGATAAGAACCAACTGAATATCTTGTTTCAGTTTCAAAAGAACCATTTCCATATCCAAGAAGGATACTCACATCATTGCTAGCCAAATTGGCAACAACGATATCTAGTCGAGTGTCGTTGTTGACATCACCAATAGATACAGATATTGGATAAGAACCAACTGAATACCTTTTTTGATTTTCAAAAGAACCATGATTATACGCAACAAAGATATCCACATGATCACGTGCATCGTAAGCGACAGCGATCTCCGATCGTGCATCATTATTAAAATCACCAGAAGCCATAACTAACGGAGGTGTATCAAA